CCCCCCACTCTCTCTCTCTCAAAAAAAAAAGAAACCTCAGCTCCTTAAAGTGGATTAAGGGACGCCGCATGTGGATTTTCCCACGGTGATCAATGGTGGAAGAGGAATTTGTGGATCTGGGAATAAAATGGAGGACGTGGAAACGGATGGACTTCCCGGTAAAAGACGGAGATGGTAATCATATTGCTGGTGATGGTGATCGTGATGGTGATGGAGTGTTGTTGCGGTGGTGGTGAAAGGGGTGATGATGATGGTCATGGCGAATGGGTTTAGAAATGGTGATGGAAATGGAAATGGTCATTGGAATGTTAATAGACCAGGCTTATGCTTATGGTAATGGGTACGTAGTCATGGGTAATCGATTGTGAAAAGTTGGTATCAAATGTGATGTGTAAATGGTGATGGATTGTGATGTATCATTATCTATTATCATCACCCTCATCATCACCATTATCAAATTATAATCATAATCCTACTCATAATCATCATGAGCATCGTCATAATTATTTTCATTATCTTTATCATCACTATCATTAGCATAATCATCATCATCGCCATCACCATGATCATCATTATCGTTGTGGTGATAGAAGGATTGACAAGAGTAAAACAAAGCAAAAAGGCATCACCTAACACCGATTATAAAAGACCGACATTAAAACATTATGAAACAAACACTAAATACTTAAAAAGTGTGCTGTAAGTAACAACAAAATAAATTAAATGTTGAATAAAAAGCCAGAGCAAGGCGCTTTCCCTTTGGTCTCTTTCAGAAGCAATTTAAAATGATATTTTTCTCCCTCGCTAAGTGCGCAATTAACATGTTGTAATTGTAATTGTTGCTTATCCTGGCGTCTCCGCAATTGTTGTGGATTTGGTAATTGTAGTTGTGATACTAGTCCATATTAATCTAGTCATTGTTGCTATAATCAGGATCGCTGACGCAGTGTAATTACTTTCACTGTCATAATTATAATGATTACCATTAATGATAAACATCACCATTAAAATAATTATAATTTTATCATTATCATCATCACTGTAATAGAAGTAGTAGTACTACTACTGCTGCTATTACTCTCACTACTACTAACTACTAATTACCATACTAACCACACAGTTATCATCAAATTTTCCCCTTATCATCAATTTCTCTTCTTCATCGCCATTTTCTCTTTTTCTCTTTCTTAAATGGCCCCTGACTTCCTCTCCCCCTTCTAGTCCCGCCTTCCTCTCGCGGGTCCTTTAGAAAATCGTAATGCATTTAGCGCGAGAAATTTCCTTTGCCTTTGGAGGAACATAACACTTATTAATTATGCAATCCTCGCCCCTTTCTCCGAGCCAAACGGACCGCTGGCTGCCTTCGCTTGCCGCGGCACTTGAGTGGAATTGCTGTGGGACACTTGGTGCTTCCGGATCTCTCTCGCTTCACCTTTTTCTCTCCCTCTCTCGTCTTTTTTTTTTCTTTCCTTCTTTTTCTCTACCGTTCTTTCTTTCTTTTTGCTTTCTCTCTCTCTCTCTCTCTTTCTCTTTCTCTTTCTATCTCTCTCTCTCTTTCTCTTTCTCTTTCTCTTTCTCTCTCTCTCTCTATCTATCTATCTATCTGAGTGACTACAGTAATGATGGGTGAAGTGTGTGATTATTAAGAGGATACAGATATTTAAAAAAAAGATTGTGAGAGTCACTAGAAGGCTAATAATGATCACATCAATATCAACATCATTACCAATAGCATCGACACTCACAACACCATTAACAACAGCAACAATAGCAACAACAGTAAAGAGAGAACGAGAAAACAACAATATCACACCCACCATACATGGCAGAATAACAATAACAGTAAAACTAGGTCAGGGCGTACACAAAGCGCCCATTCCCCAGCGTGGGCGGTGAAAAGAGTTTGGGTTGGCAGGATATTGGCGGGTGTCACGGGCAGGGCGGCCTTGTGGAGTCATCTTATTGAGAGTGATATGCCCGAAAATGGTGGCAGCGGTGGGATGAAAGGGTGCGGAGGGAGACGGCAGGAAGCGGTTTGTTTGCTTTTTCTTTTCCTTTCTTTCCTGGTTTCTTTATTGCTGATGATTATATCTATTATTGTTTTAATGTTGATTATACTGTTATTTCCATTTCCATAGCATTATTATCCTTTCATTTATAATTAGCAATACTTTTATGAAAATAATGATCATCCTCACCCTTTTCATCATTGTCATTATAATTACCTTAAATATTTATATTATTGACATTTCTATTGCTGTTGCTATTGAAACGAATACCCATATAATAACTATCTAATTGCTACTGTTGCTGTTTATATTATGATAGTACTGAGGCCGAAATAAAGAATGCCTTCAATATAATCAACCATCTAAGATTAAGGTATAAGGATAAGTAAAATCTGGATTTACCATATTCCTATTTCTTACATTATTTTTCCCTCGTCTCGTACTTACTACTTCCTTCCTAATTACTGTCCATCCCTCCATCCTCCTTCCCTCCCTCCTTTCATCTATTCATCCTTTCCTTTCATCTACCAATCCCTTCACCTATCCATCCATCCACCCACTCACTTATCCTTCCTTCATTCACCCATTTCTCCCATTCACCCATTTCTCCCTTCCTCCCTACCCCTCGGCTCTTCCACCTCTCCCTTCCTCCCTACCCCACGGCTCTTCCACCTCTCCCTTCCTCTCTTCACTTCCTCCCTTCCCTCCTTTCCCTCTTTCTATCATATCTAAGGCAGCAATCCCTCCGCCGAGGATATGCGACTCCGGAGTAACGTTATAATATTCCTCTTTGTGTACATTACATCTGAGAACGTTATTGGCTGCGGGTGTAAGTGGGCTCTTAGGGAGGGTTCAGTTGGTAATTATAATTTTTGTGGTCGATTTTAATGATGAATAAGGCCTCTCTTTTTTTCAGGGGTGTTCCTTCTTCGATTTTTTTTTTCTTTCGTTTTTTGTTGTTATCTATCTCTTAATGGCTTAATAACTGTTTTTCGCTCTCCTTAACTATTCCAATCCTCATTCTCCTGTTCTCCTGTTGGTATTTCCTTCCTTCTCCCTTTCTTCTCCATCTCCTTTTCCTTCTCCTCCTCAGACTCCTAAACCCCTTCCTGTTCCTCCTCATCTTCCACCTCTTCCCATTCCTCCTTCTAATAATTCCTCCACCCGGCCTCGTTTCTTCCTCATCCTCCTATTCCTCTCTTCCCCACCTTCCTCCTTCTCCTCCTCCTCTTTTTCCTCTCTTCTTTTCTTTTTTCTAAACCTCCTCTTCCTTTTCTTCTTCGTTTTCTAAACCTCCCTCTCCTATTCTTCTTCTGTTTCTGTTTCTGTTTTTTTTCCTCCCTCTTCCTCTTCTTCTTCTTTTTCTAAACCTCTTCCTCCTATTCTTCTTCTGCTTCTGCTTCTCCATCTCCTCCTCCTCCTCCTCCTCTTCCTCCTTCCCTCTCACCTCGGGGGCAATCTCATAAATAAATTAGAGAGGAGTCTGGCCTCGTGTCGACTTTTGAGCTCCCAGGTGAACCGTTTGGCCGCCGGCGCTACCATCTCTTCCTCCTCCTCTTCTTCTTCTTTTACTTGTTCTTTTCTTCTTCCTTTTCTTCTTTTTTCTTCTCCTTCTCTCCTGCTCACGCTAAATTCATCCTCCTCCTCGTCGTCGTCGTCGTCATCTTCGTCCTCCTCTTCCTCATCGTCGTCGTTATCGTAATCACCCTTCTCCTCCTCCTCTTCGTCGTCGTCGTTGTCCTCCATCTCTTCCTGATCGTCGTCGTTATCGTAGTCCTCCTTCTCATGCTCCTACTTCTCCTTCTCGTCGTCGTCGGGCTCTCCTTGTCATCGTCGTCGTTGTCGTCGTCCTCCTCCTCCTACTTCTTCTCCTCCTCCTATTTCTCCTCCACCTCCTCCTCCTTGTCGTCGTCGCCATCGCAGTCGTCGTCGTCCTCCTCCTACTCCCTCCTCCTCCTCCTCCTATTTCTCCTCCTCCTCCTCCTCCTCCTTGTCGTCATCGTCATCGCAGTCCTCCTCCTCCTCCTCCTCCTCCTCCTACTCCTCCTATTTTCTCCTCCTCCTCTCCTCCTTGTCGTCATCGTCATCGCAGTCGTCCCCTCCTCCTCCTCCTCCTCCTACTTCTCCTCCTCCTCCTCCTCCTTGTCGTCCATCGTCATCGCAGTCCTCCTCCTCCTCCTCCTCCTCCTACTCCCTCCTCCTCCTCCTCCTCCTTGTCGTCATCGTCATTCTCCTCCTCCTCCTCCTCCTACTCACCTCCTCCTCCTCCTCCTCTTCTCCTCCTCTTCCTCGTCATCGTCTCGCAGTCCTCCTCCTCTCTTCCTCCCTCCTCTCTACTTCACTCCTCCCCTCTCGCTAAATTCCTCCGCCTCGTTTCGCTCGCTCTCGCCCGCGGCTACGACCTCCTTACGCTTCCTGAGAGATCTCGGTGGGGTTTGTTTTATGGTTTAGTTGAGCGAATGTGTGTTTGTTCGTTTGGGGGGTGTTTTTATTCGCGCGTGTGTGATTGTTTGTTTGTCTGATGTGTGTGTGTGTGTGTGTGTGTGTGTGTGTGTGTGTGTGTGTGTGTGTGTGTGTGTGTGTGTGTGTGTGTGTGTGTGTGTGTGTGTGTGTGTGTGTGTGTGTGGTGTGTGTGTGTGTGTGTGACTTTTGGTTATACGCCTGGCTACATGTATGTGTGAATATACGTGTATTCTTAAATACTTAAAGGCAATATATATCACCTGCCGCCGCCCATTGGTCTGCTTCCATTTAACCCTTCAAGCACGTTGTCTCCATTCGCTTTCCGGTCTTGTTTATGTTCTGGCTTGAGCTGCCTCTCCTTCCCCTTCCCACCCTCCCTCCCTCTCTCCTTCCTCTCTCCCTTCCCTCTCTCCTTCCCCTCTCCCCCTCCCTCCCTCCCTCTCTCCTTCCTCCTTCTGCTTTCTCTCCCACACTCCCCATCCCCTTCCTACCCCCCCCCCCCCGACTCGAAAGGGAAGCCGTACTCACCGGGATTCTGGAGTAGGACGTGATGTCCAGCCACGACTGGTCGAGGCCGCTCCTGTTGTCGCTGCCTTCGCCGAGGGGCTTCACGCTGAGCTCCCCGCTCTCGCCGTCCGCCTCGCCCACCTCGCCGTTCACGCCGTAGGAGGGGTCCGACGCCCTCCGCTTGGCCCTCCTGTGGCCGCTGGGCCTCCCGTCGGGCGTGTGCTCGCCGGCCCTGTGGTGGGCGTGGGAGCCGCGGTGGGCGTCGGGCTTGTCGGCGCCGGTGGGCGGCGGGTGCGGAGGGGCGTGGACGAAGTGTTGACTCCGGACGGCTCGAAGTTGCTCCTTGAGCGCCCCCAGCTCCCGGGCCAGGTAGATGTCCCTGTTCTTGCCCGTCTCCTCCGCCGCCTCCGCCCGCTCGCGCACGTCCTCCACGCGGCTGAACAGGAAGAAGAAGGAGGCGGCCTGGGCGAGCACGAGGAGGCACAGGAAGGCGGAGAGCATCGGCAGCAGGAGGGGCCGCCCGCGGGTGCCCAGGACGCCCTCCTTCGACGGCGGCTCCCGGGGCAGCAGTTCCTCCTCCTTCATGGCGTCTTAGACTTCCCTTCGCTCTTTCCCGAAGATGCCGCTGCGCTTTCTTTCACTCGCTCCTGTGGCCACTACATCATCTTTTCCTTGCACTTCGCTTTGAGAATTCTTTCCGGCACAATTATTCCTGAAATTGTCTGCACTTTGTCATGGAAAGCTGTCGAAACGGAAGAGGAAACCGTCGTGAGCGATGGACACAGCGCAAGGGAAGCAAAAACACTTGGTGGAAACCTGGAGTTTGTGCGTGTGTATGTGTATGTGTGTTGTGCGTGTGTGTGTGTGTGTGTGTGTGTGCGAGCGTGTGTGTGTGTGTGTGCGTGTGTGTGTGTGTGTGTGTGTGTGTGTGTGTGTGTGCGTGTGTGTGTGTGGTGTGTGTGAGAGTGTGTGTTTGTATGCATGTGCTTTTCGCTTGTACGTATATATGTGCGTATTTGAGTGAGCACTTATGTTAAGAGGACAGAAAATGCGTGAATTGCAGGGAACGAAGTGAGAAAGGGAGTTAAAAGTAAATTGAATTATTACCTAGAGTTTAGTGCCCGTAAAATTGTTTGTGTTGAGAGGAGTTGAGTTCAAATCTTCAACTGTTGGATTCTCTCTCTCTCTCTCTCTCGTCTCATTCTCTCTCTCTCTCTCTCTCTCTCTCTCTCTCTCTCTCTCTCTCTCTCTCTCTCTTTCCTCTACTCTTCGTTTCTCTCACTTTCTCTCTCACTTTTTTCTCTCTCACTTTCTCTCTCTCTCTCTCTCTCTCTCTCTTACTCCTCTCGCTCTCCTCTCTCGATCTCTCATCGCACTCTCTCTCTCTGCTCTCTCTCTCATCTCAATCTATCTATCTATCTATCTATCTTCTAATCGTTTCGGCCTTGTTCTGAATGTTTTGGCGATCTTTTTGCTCTATAGTGGCAAGAATGCGGAGAGTGTGGACAGTAAGGGACTATGAAATAAAAAGTGTTAAAAGAATATCTGTTAATAGAATTGTGATTTTATCGTTAATTATTCCCTTTACTTCTCTCTATCTTCTCTCTCATCCGTCCCTCCTCTCTCTCCTCCTCCTCATCTCCTCTCTCTTCTCATCTCTCGTCTCTTCTCTCTCTCTCTCTCTCTCCCTCCTCTCAATCCTTATCTATCTACTATTTAATTCAATCTCAATCTTCTCACCACACACAGATGCACAGCACAAAAATCTGTCAATGACTGCAATCTGTGTCAATCCTTTAATTCAGGCAAGAATGTGTAAAACGTTTTAAGCGACTTTTCATATTTCTAGTTGTCTAGTTGGCGCAGAAATAATGATAATAATGATAATGATAATAAACAATAATAATAATGAGAAAATGATATATAATAATAATAATAATAATAATAATAATAATAATAATAATAATAATAATAATAACAATAATAATATAATAATAATAATAATAATAATAATAATAATAATAATATAATACGATCGATAATATGAATAATAATAATGATAATGATAATGATAATGATAATCATCATCATAATCATGATAATAATAAATGATAATGAATTACATTAATGATAATGATGATAATAACAATACTGATAAGAGTAATCAATAGATTAATAGTCATAATAAAAAAATGATATCAAAATTTATCTTCCATTAATTTGTATTTACAGCTCGAACCCTAAATCCAGTCACGTGACTTTTCGAGAATATTTTCAATCGGCGTTTATGATTGGCTGGCATTTTTTTTTTTTTTCTTATTTTTTTTAATGATTCCATACTGGTTTTATTGCTCTAACGGAAGGAGCATTTACTGGAGTATTTTTGATAACCATTCTAAAGGCAAGATTGGGTTGGAAAAAGGCGGGGGGGGGGGATTTGTTTGTGTGTTTTTATTTCTTTAGCTGTTCTTCTTTCTTTCTTTTCTTTCTTTTATCTCTCTCTCTTTGGAAAGTTGTGCTTTTGTCTTTTGTTATTTTTTGTGTGTATTTGTTTGTTTTTTTGCTCATGTTCGTATGTGTATGCGTGTGTGTGTCTCCGTGTGTGTATATGTATGTCTGTTTGTCTTTTAGTTCTTTTTGTGTGTATTTGTTTATTTGTTTGTGTTGGTTCGTATGTGTATGCATGTGTAATGTGTGTCTCCGTGTGTAGTATATGTATGTCTGTTTGGTCTTTTAGTTCATTTTTGTGTGTATTTGTTTGTTTGTTTGTTTATGGTTCGTATGTGTATGCGTGTGTTGTGTCACCGTGTGTGTATATGCATGGTCAGTTATGTCTTTTAGTTCATTTTTGTGTGTATTTGTTTGTTTGTTTGTTTTGTTCGTATGTGTATGCATGTTGTACGTGTAGTGTGTCTCCTTGTGTGTGTATAACGTATGTCTAACGTCTATGTCTATGTACGTGTTTATGTAAGTGAACAAATTCCCTGAAAAGTAAGACCTTTTCTCCCTCCTTGACAATCGGTCTAAGTTATGTGGTTCCCCCTTCCTTGCGAACCCATTAGTCAGCTGATCCGTAAGAGTATTATGTATATGCATTCATAAATACACAAGTACCCAGTGATTATCGAATTCAAAAGTATTATGATTCAATGCGCTGACACACCGCAAAAGCACACGCGTACATAGAACTCGAAAACTCATAGCCTAAAGACGACGGCATGTGTGTGTGTGTGTGTGGTATTGTGTGTGTGTGTGTGTGTGTGTGTGTGGTGTGTGGGTGTGTGTGTGTGTGTGTGGTGTGTGTGTGTGATGTGTTGTGTGTGTGTGGTGTGTGTGTAGTGGTGTGTTGTGTGTGTGTGTAGAGAGAGAGAGAGAGAGAGAGAGAGAGAGAAGAGAGAGAGAGAGGGAGAGAGAGAGAGAAAGAGACGAGAGAGAGAGAAGGAGAGAAGAGAGAGAGAAGAGAGAGAGACCTGACATCTTCACAATACAAGAGATTTATTTGAACCGGTTCCTGGTAGTTCGGATTTACGTCTTCGGTCAGAAATACATGTCATACTTGTACTGTAAGATATCCTGTCTCTCTCTTTCGATCTCTCTCTCTCTTCGTCTCTCTCTCTCTCTCTCTCTACGTCATCTCCTCTCTTCTCGCTCTCCTCTCTCGTCCTCTCTTCTCTCAGTCCTCATCTCTATCTTCCTCTTCTCCCTCTCTCTTCTCTCTCTCTCTCTCCTCTCTCTCTCGATCTCTCTCTCTCGATGCGCTCCTCTCTAAGATTGTTGAGATATCCAGTCTCTGCTCCTCATTACACAGGATTTGATTNAGAGAAGAGACGAAGGGACGAGGACGACGAGACCGCAGATATAGTACACAGAGCACGCCTTGAGGAGCACACGCGTGACTCCTCCTCCCCGGACCCGACCCCCCCACGCTCCCGCCGCACTCCCCGCGAGAAGCATCCCAGACGATCGAAGAGCAGACAGTTTTGTTTAGAAAGAAGAACCCAAGCAAAAACAATTAAAAGCTGAAGACATAACCCCTCCCGTAAACTCTTCTCGATCGTCGACGAAATAGACGCATCAAAGTGCATCGCCACGAGGAAAACCCGGACACCTATACAAGACCTTTTAATCCCCACGCCCCCCTACTCGTTTAGATCCTCTCAGCTTCCCGGGTAATTCCTTTAATAATCTCCCTTTCCCTCTTCATTTCTATCTCCCCCGGTGATTTCTTGCATGTTTTACTGACGGATCCAGTTCGCTCCGGCCCACAATCTTCATCTTTTCTCTTTATATCTTATCTTCTACTGCATTCTTCTCTCTATCCTTCCTTACTATCTTTTCTCCTTCACTTCTCCCTTTACCTACTCCTTATCGCCTTTCAGGAATTCTCATCTCTTATATCCTTATTCTCTTCCCTACTTCTTCCCCCTATCCAGCTCTCCTCTCTTATTTTCCTTCTTCTTCTTCTTCGTTCTTTTACCTGCTCCTCCTCCTCCTTTTCATCTCCTCCTTACTCTTTCTTTTCCTCATTCCTCTGATTCCTCGTCCACCTCTGCCTTTTATAAATTTAATCTTTTAAACTCTTTATCTCCAAATCTCTCGAATAATACAATTTCATAGTGGTAACACTTAACGCAAACCATACCGACACCCTATTGTATATCCATAACCATTATGATACTTATTTAATATATTGTTATTATTATTACTTTGTTATTTCTTAGTCTGATTATATTTAATAGTCTTGTACTTATGTTGTTTGTTTTTTTATACACCACCTATCCACCACACATACTATAAACACACACACCGACATACTACATACACTATCACTGCTCTTTGTCTCTCAATCACCTATAAGACATTAACGCCTATCCTTCCTCCCTTCCTCACTTTCATATCCTCCTCCTTCCCTGACTAGGCCTATGTGAGATGAGCCAGGTAGTCGGATGTATATAAAACATAATAATGGGGAGGGTGTAGGTACAGGAAGTGTGTACGGTCCTACACATGTCTAGACGTTCGTTTTGGTCATATTGGAAAGACCGGAGTGAGTAAGACGAAGATGGGAGAGAGAGAGAAAATGCGAGAAAAGGGAGGGAAAAAGAGAGAAAAGTAAGAGATGATAAGAAAAGAGACTTTAGCCGACGAGATAGAAAGGGGTAAAAGGGAATAGCTGGAAATGAGAGAAATGTAAAAGGAGAAAGCGTAATGTTATAGAGAGATGAAAAGAGAGAGAGCATGAGAAGTATATTAGAACAATGAGATACGAATGAGAGAGAGAGAGAGAGAGACGAGAGAGAGTAGAGAGAGAGAAGAGACAGACAGAAGCAAGGTACAGAAGAGATTGGGAGAGAGATTTATAATGAGAAAAATGTCATCGTATAAGTAGTATTATGAAGTGTGAATAATAATATTGCATGCGAGACAAAAAGATATGAGGGAAGCCAAGGGAGATGGATAATTACAGGGCGATTAAAGTTGTACGATATTGTGTAGAGGAAAGAAGATAAAGTGTTAAAATTGGAGGCCAGTGGATGGAAGGAGGAGAGGGATGCAGTGGCGCGATAAGAAGCGATAGGAGCGTTCTATTTATTGTAACGGATAAGAGAAGTAATGAAGAGAGGATATAGACTATATGATAAGATTAAATTAAGATATAGATAGTGATTATAATATGTATAATTTATATATATAAAGGAAATAGTAAGGAAGGAGAATGAGATGAAGATGAATGAGAGAATGAGTAAGAAGATATAATGAAGAAAGGGATGAATGAATGAGTAATTGAGAGGAGAATACAGA